CATTTCATCTTGAAGAACGTCACCTTCAAAGACGCGAGGGGCGGCCCGTTTGCGCGACATTTCAAAGATATGATTCTACTTCATTTTACTTTTGACTTCATCCACCGGGAAAACTCAGTGCGAAGCAACGTGTCAACCGAGACTGTATTGGAGTGGATAACCGGCAGTCGGTAAATGGTTTGTGGAAACTCGACACACATTCGCAGTGATCTGTGTCAACCAATAATCTGACACCGCTGTGAATGAAGCCTATGCTGATAAACCGCCATAGCCTATGGCCTAGAATGACAGAGCCTTGCAAGCCTAGCGCTTTAGACCATGGTTTGCGTAGACTATGGCCTAGAATCGAATTGTTGATAGTGAGCGTCCCAATTGGAGAAAGTCTGCATTAATACATGCTTCGAAATTCTAGGAGATGCGGACTACGTACTTGCGGCTGACGGTTTCTGGTTAAATTTATCCTTAAGATGTCAAGTGCTTTCTTTACGTTCTGGTCGAATTCGGAATAAAGCCGAATGTTCTTCAGTCATTTTTCTCCAACTCCTTTCACTTGGAATCGACTACATTGGAAACAATCCTTCATACACACGACAAACAACGTGACTCGACGAGGCAGGTATGTTTTCAAATGTAAATCCCTTCACCGGCAATCAGGAGGCCTGGGTTCAATTCCGGCATTACCCTGGCATGCTTGGGCGCTGCGTTCCTTGCCTCAAGTTGCTCAACAGGCTGCGCAGCACTCCCATTACTGCACTCAGCATTCCCTGTCTCCCGCTGTTCTGCGCGGCCCTACGCTCCCTACGTGCAGCATTCGCAACTGCACTGCTGCATTTGGTGTGGATTGAGCCGAGAGTTAAGAAATGTTCGCTAATTAAGACACTTTTTTGGTCGTTTCTTCCAAAGTATCTTTCGCCCCGTACTAATATTATACCAAACTCCTCAGGAGAAGCAGACGAATCGATTGATACCATTTACGGCACCAAAAAATGTAGGTGACTTTTGAATCACCCTGTATATCATTCCACAGTGCACCATGGGATGAGTCGAAAGATACCAAATGTATTGTAGGATAACAGCATATTAGGAATTTTCATGTCTTCAAGGATTTACATTATTCTCTATTGAAAATACTGGAGAAGGGAGCCGTCGTGTCGGACGGAGGTCGACAACGCCAGCTTTCCTTGGAACAGTTAGCGCCGCTGCTATCTCCGAATTACTGCACGAGTATGATATCTATTGACTCGGCAATAAGTCGAAACGTCCCATCAGCTACTTGGTTTCAACAATTACCCAATTGGGCTCAACTCCAGAATAGTGTATATTGATAGTCGATGTGACATATACATGTCATTTGATTGTATTCCATGACAGGAGTCGATCGATACCACTTTAACCTACGGAAACACGACCGTTTGACTGCACCACCTAGTGACTTCATGTTGTAAAACATAGGTAATCTATAAAGACATGGATTGGTAGTGAGGACTGGAGGACTTGCATTCATTCCTAAGAATATATTTGATGTCATGCTGAGAACAAGTGAGAGACTCTATTTCATTTTATTTTATTCTACACAGTAGCACTCACGGTCATTCTACGAGGTCCATTCGAAGAGCTCCTGAACCTAGGAGTTGCTATAGTGGGCAATTTCCTCGTAACTAGTTCAGGAGCACTTTGAATGTGTCCTCATCCAACTTTCGACGTTCTTGTCGCCACTGGTATTCAACTACGCAATCTGTAAAATTCTCATACAATATCCCCCTTATCCTCGACTGGTTTATGCATCCCAATTTGGAATTTTGGTCAGATTCATTTTCCAGTGCATATTAGCCCAGTCTTTTTATAGTATGAGGTTGAGTTGCTTACCTTCTCTAGTGATGATGGTGAAGGAGATGAGGAGCGAGGCGCGTTTAAAAGACCTGAAATGAGTAGAATAGAATGAAGAACAAGCGCTCTACATTTCCATGCAATTTGCATGCAATTCCAAGAGGGAAATTTTCAGGAGAACTTTAATTACCTTGCAAGAACTCGCCAGCAATTTCATGCACTTTCTTGAGTGCGGCGAGGAAGGTAGGTATGGTTTTCGTCGGATCATATTCCCAGAGGGTTGCAAAAAGTTTCTCAAATAAATCCCTCGGATCATCATTTTGTTTCCTGATTGCTTTTGCGTCTATGGGGAGGAACACGCCCTTCGATTCCAGAGCCTCAAATAGCTTCTTGCCATCCACTGCATACCTATCTCTCAGATGGACTACATTTTCCCTGATAGTGTTCCAGTTTTTGAAATGCTCTTCCATCCTGAAAGTCGTCTACGGGTCTAGAAGGAATGCCGAACTTCCATGAGGTTCTTCCAGGCTTGAAATGAAGTGGGAGCTTGAAATGCGGAAGGAACAGTCATGAGAATTTCCAATAATTATTTTAAAATGTTTCGACACTTATTAATCCTCAAGTTCTATCCTAATTAGAATCTCTTCCAGTTGCATTACACCATTCTTATTTTATCTATTAGAAGGCTGATGTCATTGATGTCGACTAGCAAGTTTTCAGTTCATTCGTCGATTAAACATAGCTTCCACGAATTTTTTTCCATGTGCTACCAAAGGTTCTGCTGAAATGGTGTGGAAATTGTGGTGAATGCCCTAATCAATTTCCTCACCTCTAAGGTGTCCATTTTCTAGGTGATCCGTTAGAGAAGGGTCACTAAGACTCTATCCTCTCAGCTACTGAGAGATCTGCTGAAAGATTGACTCCGTGGAGGATCGAAAATCTATCCTAGCATTTTTATTATTGTAATACCCTTTCAGCAGACGTGGGAAAAAATAAATCGAAGCTATATTTATTCGACGAATGAGATAAAAATTCACCAGTCACCATCAAAGACATCAGTCTTCTAATAATAAAAGTAAAAGTTATGTCTTGCAACTAGAAGGCCCTTGAGCTTAGAACTTTTCTGACGCCCCTCCTATATCATTTTTCTGCTTCCTTGGCTCCTCTAGCAGCTCCTTTGTCGAGCCTTTGAAAAGCCTTGCTTGTTAGTATTCATGCACAATATGTTTAAGAGCTATGATGAGAGTACAACGTAAGATTGATACTTATTCAATATCGTCGCATACTTAAATTATTTCCACAAGAAAAGAATAGGGAGAAGCACAACAAATGTGAGATTGGAATACGACGCGAATGACACGAATGACAGCTTCAAGGCCACTGGTATGGGACTCGGCCTGGATCACTGTCCTGTCTCAGCTCACCAGGACTATGGCTGCGTCTGGGATCGCTTCAAGCAACTGCCATTCCCGTTTATAGGGAGTGAAATCCATGTTTTCTATTTTTTGCAGCGTATTTCCTGCTACTTGTCTTCATTCATGTCAATTCAGGCTAATGAAGTGGCTACGTTTATATCATTTTCGGATAAATAAATCAGGCACAAAAATTAGGGCTAGCATTCAAAATGACCAACGGAAACTTTCTCTCCCGATTGATTGTATCAATTCATATGATAGCACTTGGTCACATAATGACTGCTGGCGATACTCTTTGTTGAATGAGAAGCTCTTACAATTTAGCAAGAAACATATGGTGTCTGAATGATTTGCTTCTTGAGTGAGGGGAGGGGGAGCTATTCACCTTGGCAGGGATGTATTTAAAATTCGAACGCAATGTAAACGGTGACACAGACCAACCCCAGCCTACTGTTACGGATAGGAGAGCTAGGATCATTTCCAGCAGAGTTTTGAAATAAGCTTGTTTTTTTTTTAGGAAGTTTACCTTTAGCGTTCATTGCAGTGAGCTACGGCGCACTATCCCGATTCCGATTCCATTGGTAGGACGCGACTTTGGTTAATACCATCTGCTTGATCAGGCTGTCCTGGGAAACTTCAGACACTAAAGGCGTTTCGCGACATAAGCGTTAGCTTACGTCACGACGACTTTCGGACGCTGGACGACATCACACCTCACTCAGGTCCCATTGCCTAACACCGCACTGGCACGACGAATGCTTCTTAAGTGGAGCCTTGGAAGAGGATAGTAGAGGAGGTGAGCGAATGAAAGGAGGCATCACTAACGGAGTTAATGGAGGACATAACAAGAGAGATAAGGACGTGTGCGTGCTCTCTCGAAGGTCACTTCTACTTCGTTAGGTGTAACATCGAGAGATAAATGACATCTATACCATCTCGATTGCAACTAGTGATTTTTCAAGAACACACTAGATGTCAGGAGCATGTCTTACGGAAGAATGGAGAAGCCCCCCATCCCTCCCGGTTCTCCGTTTCATATGTTGCGTGGAGTATATTTCAGCCTGGACAAAGGCTTGGTTTGAGTTTTTTTTCCGTAAGCCGATACGGAATCCCGTGCTGCAGAACGATGTCAGCAGAAAAGAGCCTGCGGATCGAATATGTATAGAATAGCAACTCTGAAAGTATGCCAAAAGTCCCAGAATTCTGTCGTGTCTTCAAAAAAATTTAGCTTAATTTAAAATAATTTAATTTAAATAAGGATATGTAATGTTCGATGGCGAAATGATTTTCTCGTTTTCTCGGTGTGGTCCATTTTCTTCAAAACATCTCCCCTCGAAAAAATTCCCCCAGGGGATGTATCGAGACTTAATATTTTTATTTAACTCTTTATCTCAGTAGTCACATCCATGCAAAGTTTCAGCTTTTCATGTTCATCAGTTTAAATGATGCAAAAAAATTAGTTGAAAACATCTCCCTTTGAAATTTGTACCCCCAGGGCATTTACTTCCAAAGTCTGAATTTTTCTGCAGCATCCCAGTAGGTAGTTATGTACCAAGTTTCATCTTTCCACACGAGCTCAATACGCCAGTACAAAAAAATACTTGAAAACGTCGGCCCAAAAAAATATGCACCCAGGACATGGAACTAAAATTTTGCATTTTTCCTGAACTCATCGTCTCGGTAGGCACGTCCATGCCATGTTTCAACTTTCCATGTCTCTCCGTTTTACTCAATAAAAAATTATGGTATGGTGGGGGAATGAGTAACGGGACATGGAAGGCAAAAAAAGGCAAATGGGAGCCAAGGAATGGCTGGGAATTGAACCTGGCCCTGCTGATTGCCGGTGAGAGATGCTACTACTACACCACCGAACCCAGCATACTCTGTTGATTCTCTGAATGCCATCCTCATCTGTCACAAAATACATTTAAGAAAAACGTTTCCCCCAAAAAATTTGTACCCCCAGGGCATGTAGTTCTCTGAGGATTGATTTCGCCAAAAAAAGAGGTACTTTTCGGTTAAAAACGCCTCAAGGCTATATTGCAAAGGGCGTATTTTCTCGAATTTCTGATCCAGCAAAACAGAGGGCGCTAGAAAGTTTAAACTTGGCAAAGAACCTAATGTATAGCTAAGTGAAGAAAAAATTCCACTTTTATTATATATGAAAGATGGTGAGCTGACTGACACAAGTCGCATGCTGAGTTGAGGAAAAATTCTACTTTTGTGGTACATGCAATAGGGGCAAACCTTTTCGGGAACATATTTTCAAATAGGTTTCTTTGCTCCAATCAAACGGAGACACATGGAAAACTGAAACTTGGAATGAACAAGACTGCTGAAACACTGAGCTCAAGAAAAATGTAACATTTCCAAAATATTGGAATTTAGGGAGGGGGGATTTTATTGGGGACGTTCCCTTTTCAAAGAAGTTTTATATCATAGCGAATCGGGCAGAAATAGAAAAGTAGCATCTGGCGCACGCTTACCGGAGGTGATGTTGATTTAATGAAAAATTCTACTTTTGTTGTGTGTCTCCTCAGAGCACAGCTTTTGGGTGGGTCGCCTTTCCAAATATATTCTTTACCGCCAGTAATAAGGGGAAACGTATAAGGCTGAAACTGGGTGGCATGGAGTTCCTTGAGCCTAAATTTCAGAAGAAAAAAAATTTTCGTTAAAACCCATCAGGGCATATTTTTTAAGTCCCATTTTTTTAAAATTCTTTTTTGATCCAACGAAACTGAGAAAGAAATTGTAAACTTCCCTCAGAAATACCTATTTGATGGCTGAGTACAGGAAAAATCCTACTTTTGAAAAATGTCCCTTTAGCGTAGATTATGGGAGGGAAGTAATTCAAAATGTATTCTCCGCCCTTACAAAAAGGGACACATGAAAAGATTTCAAGTTACACACACTAGAAATTATAGAAGTAATGATTTGATAAAAATGAAGGCTTTCGTCCCCATATGTCGCGTATTTCAATGGGGACGCACTTTAAATACGTGTTTGACATTTCCCAAAGAATAAATTAATTAATCACTATCCATGGTAATGGAGCGCCGAAGGCGCGACTATAGTATATAATGATCGTGACTGACGCTAATTTTAACCATGTTCTAGAAAGGTTAGAAACCTGAAACTTGGTATATATGTACCTTTTGGGATGCAGAGTTCAGAAAAAATCCGACTTTGGATGTACATACCCTGGGGGTACACATTTTGGGGGGGTACACATTTAAAATATATTTATTTAAATATATTGTGACGTATGAGGATGGGATTCAGAGGATCGACTGAATGTCCTGTGTTCGGTGGTGTAGTGGTAGCGCATCTGTGCAGCAATCAGGATGTCCGGGTTTTTGGCTTCTTTTGCCTTCCATGTCATTCCCCCTCCATAACAATTTTTTTGCTTGAGTAAAATGGAGAGACATGGAAGCTGAAACTTGGCATGAACGTGCCTACCGAGACGATGAGTTCAGGAAAAATGCTGCTTTTTACTAGTAGTAGTAGTAGTAAAATAATGATCATTCGCCTAAAAAACCCTATGCGTTTGTGCCCTTTCCTTCCCTATTCCTCATAATCATTATTTACCAAAAGAAGAGATTCCCTTGCTCTGCCGAAATTGAAACGGCGAATGCCGTTTGGTATGATCGGGAGGAGAGAGGAGTGCTGCCGAAATTGAATGGGAAAACGGGAAGGAGACAGGAGCACTGCCGAAATTGAATGGACTTTTGCCGAAATTCATCGGGAAAACCTATATTATCGTAGCGTTTATTTTTCGGTATGCTTGAAAGCGGCAAGAATGGCGTCCGGAGAGCGAGAACATTTAAGACATGTTTGAGATGGGATCAGTTTCTAACGTGTCACATAGTGAGATTGTTCTTAGTAATGTTGTTGGAGGACAGTTTGATGTTGTTAGTGATCAGTCCTCTGATTGTGAGAGCGATGAGTCATGCTGATGATCAGAATTCCTCAGGAAGTGCTTAAAAAATGAAAATACTAGACCAACGGTTCCCAAACGTGGTACGCGTACCACTGGGGGTACGCAAAAAGGTTTCTAGACATGTTTTTTTTTTAATCAAGAAATATAGTGCTAATCGTATGTCCTTTGCGGGATTTGCATATGTGAGACCAGTAGTGGTAGGCTACATATGCACCCTGGAGGCAGGAAGTACGTAGAGGTCTTGCCTTTGGGGGTCGCAGTACTAAACAACGCCTCCAGAATTCTGAGTTTGTACTTTATAACAGCCCACCAAATCTGGAAATATCCAAAAATGGCACACGTTACCACTCTATACATCATCTAGTGAAATGGGCAGTCTTCTGTGAAAGTTTTGTCTGTTCATTTTCGCTTGTTATATGTTCTTAAGTGATTTTTTGTGTTGTTAGTACTTGCGGCTAATATTTTCGAAACGGCTGAACACCGTTGGGAGATCTAGGGCATCTGCGCTGGACGCCGAAAGGGTTTAGGGATGACAGCCACCCCAGGCGTCCCATGACGAAGCTAGACGATATTGCCAGCCTCAGTAATATTACCTGAAGTTTCGGTTTTCTTTCTTTTGCCACATGATTAAAAATGAAATTTGTAAAAATCAAGTAAAATGTTATTATACCGTGATATCCTTTATTCAATTGGCATAGGAAACAGAATTTTCCCGTATCTTCTACATATCAAAAACTTCTTCTTAAGAACTACAATTAATGTCATAGGGGGGATTTTTGAACAGAGCTTTTGCTTCCAATAATGCAGCTTTATTCTAGGGAAAATACATATTTCCTGGAAATGAAGCAGCATTATCCGATAGTTCTTTTCTTAAAAAATCGACCCATAATGATTCTAAGAAAGAATTCATCCTTATTTCAAATACGTGAATTTTTTCCGTTCTTATTTCCATTTTAATTTCAAGACGTTACGAGTAATTTTCCATGCCATTCTTACTATGTGGTGCCTCTTCCTGCCTGGCGTTCCGCACTAATTTTGATGATACTTGTACTTGTGTACTTTTGATGGTACTTGTCAGTGGACTCCCGGGGTCTCCGGCTACTTTGTAGCCTTCTGGATTGGGAGTAAGCCGCAGATAATCGTTGTACTGAGTTTTTGCCCATAAATTGTGTGATTTATCTAATAATTTATACAAGATCGTTAGTGACTGACTGACGCTATTCCTAAGCAAGTTCTAGATCAGTTGCTGCATGTCTTAGACTGTTTCCACTGCAGTTACCAACATGGGGAGAGGCAGTCCTCCAGCGAGGGAAACAACATGGCTATATCAAGCCGAGAATTTCATCAGGAGGACATACCCTGATTGGAGAGCCGGGAACACGACTCACCTTTTCCCACCTGTTCAGTACAAGGATGAATGGATCAAATCTGCCAGAACCCAAAGGGGGAAAGCGGAGAGATCCCTCATTCTACGCCTGCATCAGCTCGGACAGAGAAACCGGTCACCCATTTTCATCACGTATAATTCGGATTTCGTCAACCTCATCAAGATGCGGAACGTCGGGGGTGGTATCGAAGGCTTCCTGGAATCGGAAGGGCACGATATCGTCATTATACATCGTAACTTTGGGGTAATCTTAATCCAAATAAAGAATCTGAATGTCGAGAAGACAGAAAAAGAAGAAGATGCAAGGAAGAATATCCAGTCAGCCACCGAACAGCTTGAAATGGACGTTCGAAGTGTGATAGCCACTAGAACAAAATTAGACGACGCCATGAGAGAGTGCGGTCTGGAAAACATCAACGTGTCCCTGTCGGTAATTGCACTCCCAACTGCGAAAAGAGAACGAGTGCATGAAAGGCCATTTGGCGCAGATCTGGTCTTCCTCAGCGAAGAAGATTGCAGTTCGGCTAAATCCCTCGAAGAATGGTGGCAGAAGTATATCCTCCAATCGGAACATCTTCAGAGCTCCACCATCAAGGATGAGACCTACATGAGTCTACTGGCAATGTAAGTCATGTCTGGGATACGCATTTCGCAATTCATTTCCCGCGGAGTCGTCTGAGTCAAAAATATTTCCGGTAGAAAGAGAGCTTGAAAACATTTTCACAGATAAGAACATTTATCTACTTCTGATTCCTGCTCTACCAAAAATATTTTTCTTCATAACTTTCTCAATATGAAGAGAAAAAAAAATATTCAAATTCTTCATACAGTAGAACCTCGATTATCCGTGACTCGATCAACCGTGAATTCCCTTAATAGTGCGTCTAAAAAAAATGGCAATTGGTTTTTTTCTCAAACACGCGCAGAACAGAAGGGGATGCAACTCGACTGAACAAGTTGCTTTGTACATGTACATTCATTATTCAATAAAAGTGTTTCTATTGTCTTTTTAATGCTGCTAGATGATAATTATATGTTTACTACTCATTAAGTGCCTTTTTCGATTATCTGGCTCGGATAATCGAGGTTCTACTGTATATGACATACAATATTGGAAAATTAAATTCATAAGAAAATATCAAATTCATTCACAGACACAGGAACTTCCCCTCAAGTGTTATACAGAATGAAACAGAAGTCAGGAATCAAAGAGAAAGACAGGGTAGCCCAAGAAACGTGACTGAAGATTACATTAGAAATGTAAATGTAAATGGTGATTGAGAAAAAATATATTAAGGTACTATAGGAAGGTCCTTGGTATATAACATGCTGATTGGAAATGATAAATACATGCATGTATCTGTCATTCGCGATAACTGAGAATTTCTCTCTCGCAGATGCCCGTTTTTGCTCATTCATTCCTCGTATAAATTTTATATCAACAAAAGCATGCTTCAGTGTTGGAGATAATCCTCGTCCATCTTCGTGCGAAGATGTGCATCGATTCCTCCAACCGTTCCTCAGCTAAGTTCGACGATCCACCAGAAAATGCCACTATTTTGGAGGAGACGTGAGGTTGACGGGCATGGCTCGAAAACGAGGCTGAACTTTAAAAAAAATTCCTCTGATAGATCCCGCAATGGGTCGTTAGGCTTCGCAGTCTGGCTACCCTCTAACCATGCCAGTTGATGCTCTTGGAACTCCGCGATTCATTCACAAGAGTAGTTAGGCCCGTGTATTCTAATGCTTCCATCGCTCTTGGAGTGCTACTCACAGCTCCAGTGAGAGTTGCATCTGCAGAAAGAAGCTACTTCAAATAGAAACAATTTATAACTTATCTAAGATGAAGCTTTTCACAAGAACGCCTGACAGGACAAGCCATACACTATCGAGAGAGAGAGATCAGCATGTCATTTAATAACAAGGAAGTGATCGATGAGCAGGTGGTTCCGAGAATACGAACGCTAAATCTTTGGACAACCTACACAAATTCCACTCTTTTCCTTAATGAAAATATAGTGATTTTCATTTTTTTCCCCTAATACAACTTTGATAATCGAAAATGGAAAATCTCCGGCTGGAACACAGAGGTGGCCCATTGAAGCATGAAAAAGAATTAAGGAGTCCACCTGATATCTATTGTCCATTCCTTCTCAAGAAACAATTAGCTTCATGTCTTTGAATTTATTTATTAGCTTTCTTTTCCTCTGAGTCCAATCGCAGCAAGTGTTCAAAGTGAGCATCTTCGACTGGTGAGACAGCGACACCTCAAATATCTAACGCCAGTCTGCCCATGTTATTGATGTAACAACCTGCATAATGTCTGATATACACTGTTCCGGATCGCTTGGTGTGTTCGGACGTGTCTGGTATATCGTCGCCGTCGGCGATCCCTCGGGGTCGAGGACGATGTCTTCCACGGGTCAAGGTCGGGGTTGATGACTCCGCTGATGGCTGAGGAGGCCTTTCCTCGAGCCGCAGGTCCTATGGCAGATGTTGCAAATGGTGCTCAAGGGGAGGATTAGATAACGATGTTCTCGGACTTTATCCCTCTCCTTTCTCCTTTGCCCTTTTTCGGCCTCCTGGGCGAGACGGTTCTCTTCGAAAAGAGACACACCCTTTTTCACGAGTTGTCGCAATCGGGACCTGTTCTGGACTTGTTCCTCCCAGTTCTTGGTGATGATGCCGCTTGACTTGAGATACGTTGGGAGAGTGTCCTTGAAACTTTTCCACTGTCCCCGACGTGTTTTTCGGCCTTGGCTGAGTTGGCTCTAGAGAATTTGCTTTGGGAGACGTTTGTTGGATATGCACAAACAGTCGCCGGACCACTAACGTTGATGTTTGATGATCATCGCTTCAATGCTGCTCGTATTTGCTTCCGCGAGGACCCTGGCATTCGTCCGGCGGTCTTCCCATTCCATCAGGAGAATCTTCCGTAGGCTGTGCTGATGGTGGCGCTCCAAACTCTTCAGGTGGATTAAGTAGGTCACCCAAGTTCCGCTGCCGTAGAGGGGGGGTTGGAATGACTACGGCATTGTACACAAGGAGATTCGTTCGGGTTCTGATGTTCGGATCGTTGAATACGCGGTGACTCAGTCTCCCGAAGGCAGAAGTTGCGCATTTTATCCTGTGCTGGATCTCCTCGTCGATGTTGGCCTTCTGCGAGAGAAGGCTGCTGAGGTATGCGAAGTGCTCAACGATCTTCAGATCCTGTCCATAGATTGTGATATTTGGGGGGGGGGGGGGGTTGGTTGACCTGGAGCTGGTTGGTGGAGTATGTTCTTCTCGATGTTGAGGGACTGACCCAGGCATTGGTATGCATCCGATAGGCAGTTCAGGGTCAGTTGTAGATCCTCCTCAGAGAGCGCAACGACGACGCAGTCGTCGGCGCATTGAAGGTCAACGATCGTGGTCGCTGTCACTTGGGTTTCGGCGCGGAGTCTGGAGAGGTTGAAAAGCTTTTCGTCCATCCGGTACTCGATGTCGATGCCAGGTGGGAGACGATCGCGAATAAGTATCAATATGACAGCACGAAAGATTGAGAAGAGGGTAAGGACGATCACTCAGCGTTGCTCGACACTGGTTCGAATAACGAAGGGTTCCGTCTCCGAGCTGTTGCATAGGACATTGGCAGTATCGGGGCTTAGAGGAGTCATAGGATGGTGATGAATTTTCGTAGACAGCCAAACTTAACTATGACCTTCCACAAGGCCTCGCGGTTGATGGAGTCGAAGGCTTTAGTCAGGTCAATGAAGTTGTTCTCAATGTTGTTCTCGGTATTTCTCCTGGATCTGTCGGGCCACGAAAATCATGTCTGTGGTGCTTTGTGATGGTCTGAAGCCACACCGTGATTCTGGGAGGACGTCTTCAGCAAGGGGGAGGAGTCGGTTTAGTAGAATTCGAGCAAGGATATACCCAGCGCTGGGCGATGCCACGGTACTCTCCAGAGACTGACTTGTCTCCCTTCTTGAAAATGGTGACGATTGTCGCATTCCTGAGGTCTTCAAGAAATTCCTCATCATTCCAGATTCTGAGGAAAAGCGATTGAAGTTTGCGTGTCAGTGGTTCTCTTCCGGCATTGAATATCTCAAAGAGAAAGACCTCAGAAGCAGATGCTTTGTTGTTCTTCATCTGTTTCAAGGTCCGTTGAACTTCTTCAGTGGAGAGTCAGCGAAGTTGGTTCTCATTGGGTGTTGGGGAATGGACTTGATAGCTTTGTCCTCCACTGTGGATCCCTGATTTTGTAGGGTTTAATAGTGTTCTTTCCATCTGTCTTTCATAGACTCGTTGTCTTTGAGGAGGGGATCTTGGGATCCATCTTGGGATCGGAGACGGATGGATCTGGGTTTACTGTGGGTATACTATGCAGAGTGATTTTTTTTTACTCACCCTGCATAGTAAAAAAGGTAACAAACGAAAACATGAGGTAACTGTAATATCTATGGGATCAAGAAATAATTAAAAAAATAAATAAAATTTCCATGGTCACATCTTAAAAGTGATTGCTTGATTTATTTTTCCCCTCTTAGATATATCGCACCAGTATACGCAACCCCGGCCTTCACTGCCCGATTCAACAGACAAAATCTGTCTTTCCTGACCGAAGAAAAGCTTGACATCCTGGTGAACGGACCGAAGGAGTTCGTGCTGAAAGGAGCAGCCGGGACTGGGAAGACGTGGATTGTTCAGGAAAAGATCAGGAACATCGTCATGTCTTGGTTTTCTCGAGGCCCCATCGAAGACAAGAACGAGAGGATCCTCCTCATCCGCAGGAACACCCATGTCGCCAACGAATTGGGGAGAACGCTGTACGAACTCCTCCTCACGTCCGCTATGGCTATGATCAGCAAATGGGTCGACGGAACGAACGATGAGGAGGAAAGGCAGAAGGTGTGGGGAATTCTGAAGAAGAATATCTTCATTTGCTGCTTGCAACCCTCAATTACTTTATGGGGCCTTCAGTGGGAAGAATTGAAAATGATTCATCTTCTGGAAACCCAAGAGGGGAAGGCAGACGAGAATCATGAACTACCCCTGAGTCGATCAATTTTGACCTTGGATATCTCCATGTGGAAGAATGCAAGTTGGGAAATATTCCTATGCTATGAGTTCCTCAGAAGCTCCATGGCTACATTCGAACCCGGACGTAATATGGCAGAGAAATGGACGGAGGCCGTGAGGAAAGCTGGAAACTTATTTGAGTCCTTCACTCCGTCAACGGATGCAATGCAGAACTTAGTCCGCAGAGTCCAATCTTTGGCGAAGGAAATGCAATCGATTAAATTCATTCAGCTGACCCGCGAACGAGAGATGATCCATGTTGCGCTGACGACACTCAGGATATTGTTACAGAAATTGAACGCTTATTTAAAGAATCTTTCCGAATCGGATCAGAATGTGATACTGGAGACCCTGCACGAAGTCTTCAAGACACAGAAACCGCCATTCGACCACATGTTTGTTGACGACGGAGAAGAATGGTGCAAATCCTACGGTGACCACTGGTTGACCATGCTCCGATCTCTTCACAAAGGTAATGGAGGATATTTTTGGCGGACCTACGATCCCATTTCTGATGCCATGGAAAAATTGACGAACGCTATGAAATCCGAGGTGAAGGGTGCTCGTCCCTTGTATACAGTTTTGAGGAATACGGGATCCGTCTTGGAGACGTGGACTCGAGCGTATACATCACCTGTTGGAGGCGCCCTCACGACGAAGACCATCGCACTCGACTTGATGTATGAGATTGGAAAAATCAAATTGGGACACAATATACAGGGTCCCAAAGTGGAAATGTTTCACGTGTCCTCCTCGGATCTGGCAGATAAGATACAGGGAATTCTGGAAGAAAAGTTTCCTCACGCAAACCAGCTCTATGACATAGCTATTGTCTTTGCTGATGAAGCAGATTTTCAAGTCCATATGCAGCGTCTTACGGTTGAATTGTACACGAAGCAAAATCAATGCCCAGAGAAGAGATACAACATAACAACCTATGCTGACTTCTTCAAAGGCCTCGAGGCCCCTATCGTGTTCTTGATTATCAACAACAGACGTGAGAGGGAGATTAATTTGTACGTTGGTGCATCAAGAAGCACTTCCCATCTCTTTGTTCTCGCATTCAATGGGAGCGCAGCAGAAGAGGAAGTCGCGTTGGAGAAGTTAGTGGACACATTACTTCATCGTACCTTTGTAGAGGAAATTATCCCAGAAGTGGAGGATGCAGTTCTCCGGGAAACCCGCCGCTGCCTAATAAGAGATAATCCAGAAGCGATGATAATACGACTCACGCAGATCGCAGCTCTAAGGAGAACATCAAGGGAAGCAAGCGTAAAGCAAGTAAATGTTTTCACGAGCGAAAGAGAGCATCGCGAGACACTCCGCTTCCTGCAGATTCGAGAGGTCGATTATGGAACCTCGATTTTACTCAAGTTATGGGTCGAGACGGGTTGTGCGATTCTTCCTGATACTGTCCTTGTACAGAGCGACGGGGAAATGAGACTCTAGATGGAGAGACTGTCCGCAGTGTAGTGCTCTCACGAAACATCCAGGTGTTATACCCAGGACAAACGTTGTTCATGTGATAAAAGCAATGAGGGCATAGTGAAAATTGGTCAGTCCTTTCTATGGAATCGAAGGAGCTTCATTCCAAGGAGAACTCCCGCTCGTCCTTCGAAAAACTCGTGGAAAGTATTAAGAAACCATTAACTTGTCTTTATTCATTCAAATCACATGGCTTGTCTTGTAGCAGTGGCGTATTTTACAGGTGGGCAGAGGGGGCAGCCGCCCCCATGATGCCCATAGGACAGAGCCCCCCCCCCATTGGAGGAAATTATTTTCTCACCTGATATCACTCGCGTGGGGTTTGGCGCCCCCGCTCTGTTGCCTTGCCCCCCCTGACCCTTCAGCCAAAATACGCCACTGTCTTGTAGCAACTGACGTGTTATGTCATAATCGAAAAAGGCGCTGCTTGTTCCCTTCGAATTCCATCATATCCTATTCCTGATCACATGCAACAACGATTTCAACGGTTTCAACAATTCCTGCTTCACTGTTTATGAAAATGCATCAGTGACATTTTCTTTTCTTGCGATCAGATGCCAGCCATCCTAAGAGTTGAAGCCTCAACAAGATGCCCTGAAGGAGCCATATTGAAAATATGGGTCCACCAAGAGGGAGTAGGGTGCGAGAGGGAGGTAGATGGCAGCTGTAGAAATGCCCAATCCAAGCCTCCATCTCTTTTTTTAAATTATAATTTCTTGTTTTGAATTCACAAGGTATAGATTTGGCCCTAGTAAAGGGATGGATACGACACTCGTAGAGTCCACTTGTCCAGAACATAGGCTTGACTTATCAAGCATGATTTCGCAAGGTCTTAATAGGGATGAACCAACCAAAAAGAAGGGTCAATGTTGCTTGATTTTACTGTTACGATGCGCGTTCAATAAAGCAATTGTTCAGGGAACGAGGCCTGCAGCGGATGTTATTTGGTTCGAGTGGCTTTTTGTAACATAGTACAGCGGTGGTGAGGTTACCATTGCCCGCGCTGAATGATCGCTATGTAATAATGTATGACAAGCCGGTTAAGATGGCAGCCATCCTCGAAACGTGGTCAAATTTTAATTGTGGAGTGCTGCTCGTTTTCTTTATACAAGAGGAACCACACCTGCAGAAATTCATTGCCCAGTTGTAGAAGTTTATGGGGAAAATGCCATGACTTGAAAACATGTATGAATGTGAATGTGAACCCTTTCGTGCACAAATTATGAGAGGATCTGAATTCAGGCTTCTTAATTTGTCTGTTCTGTTTGATGAATTATACACTCTATTATTCTTGAACACAGTCAAAATTTTATTTCTCGAAGTCACAGACCCAAAAACAATTCCGTCCACTATAATGGACACTATGCACTTCAGCCTATAATGACATTTACAGAGCTCATGGAAAACCCAATAAAGACCCAAAATCTTTTGTCGTTTCATGTCTTCACTTATTTCTGAGTATAGAACCTTTCCATACAAGTAGGACACACCGGCTCTTTGCACGCCTTGCACATGTATTGAATATTTTGTCTTACCCTTGCATGCTACGTCGTGCCAGCGCAGAGAGTTTTTGACTTGCATCAGCTTCGTGCAGTGTCCGCCGGTGCTAAAATGGATATCCTCAGGAGCCCTAACCACCGCCCTGCGCTTCAATTTGGTATGTGTGGAGGTCGGTCGACCTCTTTTCGATGGGCAACAATCAATCTTCCCGACATTTAAGAGAACGCTTGCCAAGGAGGACTTGAATTCAAGCAGAGAGTTCTCTTCCCCAGACATGCGATAGAGTTGCCAAGCATTGGCAACTGTGACTCCAGGAAGAGGAAGAAAACTTGATTTACAACCGCTTGTTTTCTCGGCGTTGAGGGTAAAGGGCAACAAGTTGGTCGACGAGGTCCACGCCGCCCATATGCTCATTGTAGTATTTCACTCAAAGGGGCCGCGTAACCTGGATCTTCTTTTGATCTTTCTTGCACCACCTTTCTGCCAAACTACAAGGTTCGACCCCTGCACAAGTCAAGGTTACATGGATGGGTGCATTGTCTAGCCATTTAGTGACCATGCTTTTGTCTCTAGTTGTGACACATGCCGACGAGCCACGTCCATTTCTCCTCATATCTTTCTCGAAAGGGAACAATTGATTAGCGCCCTGCAGTCGATTGGCACGTATGGTGTCGGTTGCAAAAATGTTATGGCATGTGAGCTCCTCGATTAGTGGAAGGGAAGTGAACAGGTTATCAAAAAAAAACTTTGTGATTCTTGTCTCTTATATCGTCACAGAGACGCAGGACCACGTCAGCGCACATCCCAAAATCTGATATTGGGTCACGCCCTCCGAGACTGCCTTGGTACACCCCAAATCTGTACAGGTAGCCTGAGCTACGCTCCCAGACCAAGACTTGGATACCCCATGACTTGGGCTTCTTTTGCAGGTACTGCTTTATGCCTAAGCGGCCCTTGAACGGAATGATCTGTTCATCCACAGACTGACACTCCTCGGGATCGGCAGTCCTCAGAAATGATTCCTGAAGTTGGTTTAGGAATGGTCTGATTTTGAACAATTTGTCATTGCGATCCAAATCAAAGTTGGCACATATTACTCAGCAGTTGACCAGGCATAATTCACAGGCACGAGTGATACCTTGCTTGAGGGAGTCGAAAGACGAAAAATTCTCACGCGATCCCAGTTAACAGCTTCTGACAGGGCTGTCCAGATGGAATAGTCGAGCGGGTTGCATTCGGGGGAATTCGGAGGCCATTCGGTGTGTTTGATGAACTCGGGAGTGTTTTGTGTCAGAAAATGCCGTGTTGCCCGGCTTCGATGGGATGGGGCATAGTCTTGGAGGAAAATTGTAGTCATCGTTTGGGTACAATGTCCTGCAGGATGGAAGAAGGTCTTTCTCGAGCACCTCGATGTAAACGACGGTGTTCACCTTCGTTCGCTGTGGGTCGATGAAAATGATGTCGATTTTCCCATTCCACCTGATTTCTGGAATTCCCCTAACTTTTTGGAAGAACCTCCATTTTTGATGGTAAAGTCGATCAGGAGAAAGGTCCTGTTTCCTTCCCAACTCCGAACACCCTGTCGTTTTGGCGGTTCGTGGGGACTTCTAAAGTGAAATCCTTTTCGTGTGTGAAAATGATTCGTTTCACCAACTCTTTTGTGTTTTGTATCTAACTCTCCATCGTGATTCACACTGGGAGTGATGATTCCTTTGAAGGTTTCCTTCCCTTCTTCTTGAAAATTCATTGAATTGACATCTTGACTGATCCTAAGTCTCTGGCGATTTCCTCTGATTTGTGCGTTCCGGGAAGCCCTTCTCGAGAGACAATGGCTTCTTCCACATAGGCAAAGTTTTCCTCAGTTTGAGCTGCTTTGGATCTTCCGCTTCCTTTCTCCCTTTCCGAGGAACCGGTATCCCTCAGCCTATGAATCAACCTGTTAACAGTGCATTTTTTCCACTTTTTTTTCCAGAAAATTCCCTCAAAATTCTAGCTCCACCCCATCCTTTCTCAAGATACCAGGCAGTAGAGAGATACCTGCAGAGAGTACCATAGACCGACAGACCAAGGAGAACTGACGCGAAATTGGTGCGGATAACGGGCATCAGCCTCCTTCCTCCCGTTGCTCTCCCGCGCAAAAAAAAGTTGAGTTACTTCAGCGAAATAATTCATTTGGAAAAATGGCTAGAGATAAATGAATGAAACTTTCAGGAAGGTTACAGGATACATTGACATTGTTAGCTAAAAAATTGCAATGATATATGCTATCCAGAAATGCCCAAGGCTTGCAAAGAGCAACGCGGTTTTTTTTTTGCCTCACCCAGTATATGGGTGGAGATCTCATCCCCGCGGGAAGTCATCCCTCCTCCAGGGATGAAAGGGGATTTCAAGTGTAATACGCGGGGACGTTTTACACGTTCCTGCGGAAAAGCCCATAACGGGAGTGTAAACACCCCCCTTCGCAGGTTCGTTGAAAGCCTCTCTCTCCCGTCGTAGTGTTAGGGATGACATAGAAAGGAAGAAGTTAGACTTGTCATTCGTGGTGTAGTGGTAACTCGCTTGATCGATAATCAGAGGGCCTAGAGTTCGATTCCCAGCTGCTCCACTTAATTGTTTAGTTCTCCTATGCCATCCGAACTCCTTTCGGACCGTATATACCTCTACTCCCCATCGAATGTTTCGTGGAGAAGCCTCATTTTTTGCTTTGCTTTACATGTTTTCGATTTAATACGTATAAATCGCCAACACGGGACATCATCTCGTTCAACCGTTTCTTTGTTATCTCCCACTTCAAGAAGTGCGACTCAAGTGACAAAACTGATCTAAATCAGCTTTCTTCTTATTCAAAAAGAAGACCATGTGCCTTCCCAGATTTCTAGTCTACGAACAGCCTCTGAAGTTCGTACAACGCATATAACGAAGGTTGGTCGCCTGTGTATGGCTCCAGAAGGCAGAGCAATTCGAGGTTAACGGGAGTTAACTGTCATCTATTCCAGAGGATGGGTACTGCATCTTAGTGTAAAAGAATGCTGAGCGCGGCGACGGGCTCCAGGGGCTCTAGTTGCACGAACTAAGAAATGAGTGGGGCCTCTGAGAGATCGGGTACCCGCTTCAGCTCTGTCTTGGGGAGGGTGCTAGCTTCAGCTTCAGGACTGCGTTGCGTTGCACATCCCCTCACCACACTTGCTTCCAAGAAGCCGTGAGTGATACCATGAGCGCGTGTTTTTCTCCACCCGCTAGCAGCTGCTGGCGAAAAAGTCACCTTTTTCCTTTAGCGCTTGGCACGACCACGTCATTGAATGACATCACTATTGGACAAGCAGCTGCCAGCGGAACATAGCGAACTACGAGAATGCTGAGTAGCTAAGCCTTAAAATGACGTCATCGGATGCTGGGGGTCACAGCAGAGCTGGCAGAGCCATAAGAAAGTTGTACGCCTCCCATGACTCAATAATTGCGACGTCATTCCACTGTGGCCAATCGAACGAGGGCGGTGATGTGTCATTCTATTATTTCAAAATTAGCTACCAGGATATACCTGGCGTTCTATCTGGAGGACGCATGTTCCATCAAGAAGCGAATCACTGAACGCCATTCCACGTGTAGGATGGCAGGCATATCTAGTTAAGCACTCTCCTTTTAGTTCGTTGCATGCTTTCAGTTCTCCAAAACGTCCCCTCGTATTTAAGGGAACTAAATCAGTTTTGATTCATACCAGTGGCTGTGACGCATGACGATCATGGCGAGTGCTCTTGAAGCCAAGTGGTTCCTCGCTGCCCAGAAATTCGTCGAAGAAAGGTTTCCGGACAGGGAAACGGAAATCCGAGTTGTACCGCCACTCCGAGATGTCCCTGTCGACGTCCAGTTGACTCTTGTCTCAACTTTCTACGAGATAGTTAGAAAGAGGGGGGAGTCGATGTTCATCGTCTGCAGTCGGGACATAAAACAACTGCTGAGAGCACGCTTGCATGGTGGACTTTATGGCATATCGGAGAATGACAAGGGGTTCGACGTAGTTGTCATAGATCGTCACCGGGGTTTGTTTTACATGAAGTGCGGAGGCAACGTTGAAAAGAAAAGGGGTGACAGCGGCAAGAAGGACTGCGATGAGCTCAAAGCCTTGATGATGGAGGCGGGAATGGACGATAAGAAACAGGTGGACGACTGCCTTTCATTTCCAGTTCCAATTCCATTATTCTGCAATGATATCCCCCTATATAAGGGACCAACGGATGTCCGACCTCTAGTGCTAATTGATGATCACTTCTCCAGTTCTTCCCTCGAAGTACTAGGAGATTGGTGGGAAAAAATTATCGAGCATTCCGAAACCAAGAAAATCGACCTCAAGCCTGAAATTCACAAGGCTCTCTTGGCCATGTAAGCTTTCCCCTCAAATCTTTTTAAATAGAAATATTCTAGTCCCCTAATTATGCATACATCTTTGTACGAGAAAACTCAAGCATGTTCGCAAGGGAGAAGACGAAGAGTAAGTAAGGATCGAGGAATAACAAGTTTATTTACTGTTGTGGTGTAATATGGGAGCGACAGCGTTCCCAATGGCTGGCACCTTATCGGCATGACAATTTCTCACTTGTACCTGTATATTCGGCTCCGGCGCTCCATTTGTCCAATAATAGCTTGATATTCTCATTCTATATTCTATCACTATATATTGAAATAGTGGAAGCACAGAAGTCACTTATAAATTCTGCTAACAGTCAAAATGGTGATTACGACCAAGGAGACATTATTGTTGGATTGCCTTTCTTCCAATGCATAACTCGTCAGTTAACGTCTAAGTAATTTTGTCATCTTCACCTGAAATTCCTGAAACTCTTCAGTATCATGTAACAGTTTAATACAGTACAGTATACAGTGCAGTAGATGAGAATTTTCAAGGAGAATTGCCTGGAAGTCCATGCTGAATAGAACTAATCGTAATAAGGCAATGATCAGAGCAAAATCCTAAAGCCTCCGCATATGCCGGGTGGCCCAAAAAAAATTCCGAACTTTACATGCCTGCAGACGGTGTACCATATGAGTTATCGACAGGGAATTTACAGGCTTTTACATGCAATGTTTGCAGGTAATGCAACAACAATTTCATTGAAATTGGTTGCCAACTACGTGAGTAACAATTTTTCTCCTGTGCGACGTCAAAAGAGCGAGTGTGCAAAGGAACGCGCCTGAACTCAATGAAAGAACTGCTTGATGGGTCCTGGATGAGTCCTCTTTCAATCGCGGGCCGAAGCATCACGCCAGCCAACGCAATGACACAATTGCACATTTGACGACTTGTACAGAAAGAGCTCTGACTCATGTTCAGAGCAAGGAATTTCATTGAAATTTTCTTTAAGCCACCTACCTATATTGGGTACGATACACTGAATATTTCTTAGCTTGGTGTCCTGTCTGCAGCCGCACAAAGTTCAGAACGTTTTTTTTAGGCCACTCAGTATTTCCGGAAAACATGCTTCGACAAAATATCATTATCCCTATCTGCAGAAACTCACACCTCTGACTATTCTTTTGTTGATTGCATTTTTACCTCCAACTTCGAATTTTGATTAGGGCTTATTTTTTTCTCTCCTTTTAAGATTCGTCGCACCCTTTTATGTGAGTCCATCCTCGAAAACGGGCGAGACGAACGTCAACTTTCTCAAAGACAGGGAATTGGAAATTCTGATCCACGAGCCTGCCAAGTCCGTGATCAAAGGGAACTCAGAAACTGAACGAATGAAGTTCATGATGGAAAAGGTCCGGAATATCGTCACGAAATGGTTCTCCAAGAGACCGATCACCGAAACGGAACGTATCCTCGTCCTCGGAGCCAGACATGATATCAGGGAAAACCTGAACTCGATGCTAGAATGGATAGTGAGCTCTGCTATTGGTGCCTATTCCACATGGACCACGATGTCTGCGAAGGAGATGAGGCGACGGATTCAGAACCTAATTAACAAGAACCTCGTCTTCTGTACATTTTTCCCAGACAAAGCATATGGAGAAGTTCCTACCATTGAAGAGCCAATGCATGCGTGTACATTTGGCATTGATATGCCAAAAGTGAAGGCGATTGTTGGCCGACTCTACGAAGGAATGGGAGGCACGACTGAGCATCCTGGTACTCATGAATGGCAAGAAATACGGAGGAGTTATACCAATTTTCATCACATCTTTGTTCTTGGGGCTCACAAATTCAATCTGAATTTGTCAGATATTTGCAAACTTCATCTGAGTAAACACGGATATTTTTGGCTTCTCTGGCCGGAAGGTGATCTTCCTGACACCTTTGTTGCAGAACTCATTCACTCTGGTTTCATACGGCCAGACAGGAAATCCATACAAGGTGAGATTTTAAAATTTACTGTAAATTCCGATTCCTAGCTAGTTCAGATTATTAATTTCAGGTCCGAGGTAGACTCTTTTGAATAATTCGCAGAACTATGGCATTTCCCTTCGAAAAGTAAACTTTACAAGCACCGCGCAACAGAAGCATAAATAATTCTGCATTTTTCTTGAGCAGTTTTCAATACTTTCCTTTCACTCGAGGAAACTTCTTTTTCTCCTTGCATATACGAAATCATGAGGAATCGTCCTCAGCCAATTTTTCGCCTCGATTTTTCCTAGGCAGTAAGTATAGGTGCTGAAACGCCGGCCCCCTTGCAACTTTTTAAATGCATTTTTAAAGCGAAAAGAATCTCACAATCTAGTCTCATTCAATCAGCCAGAACCTTCATACTAAAGATTATCTATGCCAGATTTCCTGCCTAGAATACTAGGAAGTTACCTGCAAACCTGTGTAGAAAACCAAGTCCAAAATAAACTTGATTAAGAATTTGTGTGCAAGTGACTCATATTGACCAAACAAAGCCCAAAGAGACCACTTTGGGACACTTGGGATCCTATCTAAGTCACTCTCGAAGATAATCTAGCTCACTCTGCATCACTTTGGACCAAAAGTGACCTAGACTAACATTTACTATACTATGGGATGAAAATATGGCAACAACAAGATCTCTTTCTCGGGTTTTTGGCTGGAGGAGACAGTGTATATGTGCATGGCTCTGGGATCCCCCCTTCCCCCTTACAGGTTAAAGTTGATATTTCCGATTTTCTCAGCCATTTAAAATATAATTCATTGCTTTCCGGAGTTGTCACGATGCCCATGCATTTTAATTCTCTTAATTCACACCTTCTTACTGTGACTTGAAGAAAATGAGCGGTTGAATTGCAAATCACTTCTCAGAGGGGGAAAAACCGGGTTGGTATCGAATAATCGAAACTTATATCGACGAATAGACATTTGGTCGAAAAACGGTTACGCGAACGCGACCATACATCGAAGGATTCATTCATAGAAGTGTCTGGAGATCGAAAGGCTCAATTCGCCGAAGGCTTACAAGGCCGAAAGAAATACCGGTTTATTTTATTTTTTTTTGGACCGTCTCGAGTCATATGTCTAGTCAGTTGTGCCCTGGTTACCATCTGGTTGCATCCTGCTGTGCATTTTGCATTTGAATTATATCCGAAATAATCAAGTCTCAACGAGGGCAGGATATGTTGGTGATACATAGATATCTCTTCCTGAAGAACAAGGTGAGGCACTGAAAAATCATTCAGCCTTATAGACTGAACACGCTAGGTTTACGATTTTTTTATTATTCCCCCAATATTTCTACACCTGTTTGCTCCTAGCTGTAAGACAACCTTTTCTTTTCGTGAAATCGTCGTCCGCTACTCGTCAGGCTGATGTAAAACGGACGGAAAGCGGAAAGAGGGCCACATTCCAGGGAAAAAGAAAGCAGAGATTGACAAGAACAACAGAATTCTGACAATCACGCGTACCTATGGGGATCGCTGCAATATGTCTTTCTTGAGAGGTCTTTCCTATAATGTTTCTCTTTGAGATGAGTGCAAATATCCGTGTCTTTCACATTCGACCATTTGACCTTGACTTTGCAATGAAAACCATGATTCAAAAGTTGCCATATTCTGGCATTTCAATCTTTCGACGAAAATCAGCTTTCATCGAAAAGATTTTGCTTCGGCGAAATGTGCTTTCGGCCAATTTATTCGATGTTTTAGAGTTTCGTCCATTTGATTAATCGACATTTCGAGTTTTCGGCGATATGAATTTCGATGAATAGCTGTTCGGTATTTTGATACGCTCCCGAAAAACCGAACTGCCCTCACAACGATTCTTATTAGTCCTGAACCCTTGATTTTGAAGGAGGGTTCCTTCGCGAATCTTGATATGTTTTGGACCGAAAGGTTTTTGGTTAATATATAAAGGATCAGTTGGCGGCATGTCTTACATTGTTTCCATTTCAGTTACTAGCATGGGGAGAGGCAGTCCTCCAGCGAGGGAAACAACATGGCTATATCAAGCCGAGAATTTCATCAGGAGGACATACCCTGATTGGAGAGCCGGGAACACGACTCACCTTTTCCCACCTGTTCAGTACAAGGATGAATGGATCAAATCTGCCAGAACCCGAAGGGGGAGAGCGGAGAGATCCCTCATTCTACGTCTGCATGAGCTCGGACAGAGAAAGCGGTCACCTATTTTCATCACATATAACTCAGACTTCGCCCACCTCATCAAGACGCGGAACGTCGGGGGTGGCATCGAAGGCATCCTAGAATCGGAAGGACACGACATCGTCCTCATACATCATAACTTTGGGGTAATCTTAATCCAAATAAAGAATCTGAATGCCGAGAAGACAGAAAAAGAAGTAGGAGATGCAGCGACGAACAATCAGACCGCAGCCGAACAGCTTGAAATGGACGTTCGAAGTGTGACTACTACTAGAAAAAAATTGGAAGACGCCATGAGAGAGTGCGGTCTGGAAGACATCAACGTGTCCCTGTCGGTAATTGCAATCCCAACTGTGAAAAGAGAATGGGTGGATGAAGGGCCAACTGGCGCCGGTCTTGTCTTCCTCTGCGAAGAAGATTGCAGTTCTGCTAAATCCCTCGAAGAATGGTGGCAGAAATATATCCTCCAGTCCGAACATCTTCAGAGCTCCACCATCAAGGATGAGACCTACATAAGTCTTCTCGCAATGTAAGCCATGTCTGTGATACACAAATCACAATTCAATTTCCACATGTGGAAGATCCACACGTCTGATATAAGGTGGCAGTCGCGATTAGCCGTCTGAGGGGATAGAATTTTTCTTGAAGAATGAGAGCAAGTACATACAGGGTATTTTCACACATGAGGAAATTAATCTATTTCTGATTCGTGTTCTACGATATTTTTTTTCATAATTTCTTTAATGTGAGGAGATAAAAACATTTCCACATCTCCATATATGACAAAAAGCTTGAAAAATTAAGTTAATTTCAAAGTATCAAATCCTTTCTCAGGCACAGGAACTTCCCCTCAAGCGTTATACACAGAGTGAACAGGTAACTTATGAAAAAATATTCTGTTAACACTGAATGGAAGAATTTCGTTCGTAGATTATAATAAGAGTCATGGTGAAGGTGAATCTGTTGAAAAGGTTGCTTGAATTCGATTAAATCCTCAAGCAAATAACTTTCTGAAGCTGATCCATTGGTATCGGGTGAATTCAAATGAGGTCTTGGTGGTCGGTGTTGGTGTTATCTCCCGGTGTTAGTGTCAAGAGACTTCTCCCAACACTAACTTCGGTGTTAACACCAACAACGGCCCTGACACTAACACAAACACTAACTCAAAGCTTACACCAACACTGAAGGTTGTACCGTATCACACTATTTGCGTGTCATGTGCCCTTTGCGTCTGTGTGAAAGTGTGAAGCGACCTTAACACCGACATGGAACCCAAAATAACGACGCCATCATAGGGCTGTTTTTATTTCTCTCTCAGGTTGAAGGTTTATAAGATAGTCGGCTTAGGCATAGCGCAGCTAACAGCCAGCGGCAGACTCATGAACTGCGATTGTGACTGAACTGTGACGGCACTATCTTCGCCTATATCATATCCTTTGATCTATGTAGGTACGACGAATGTCTCCCATACCTTCAAGGTGGTAATGAGTGAATCTCCATCGGAGTTTGAAATTTCTGATAGAATGCTGTGATATCTTTTGTAATTTATCATCGTTCAGAACAGAGTGTCTCATGATTTAGGATGCTTGGATTGAGAAACACTCTTTTCATATCATTATTTTTTCAGTAAACCATGATATTTTTGTAAGGTATAAATTCCGGTGCTCAGCTAGAAAAGGGTCTAGTTGGATGTTGAGATAGCTGATTTATTCTGGGGCTGTAAATGGGTTTTATGGAAAAGGGGGATATTGGACGACGAGAAAAGTTTACATAACGTGACATCGAGCTAATACAAAGTTATTATGAAAGCGTCGCAGTTTTCCTCTCAGGTACACATGTGGTCTTGATGGGAAGCCTACAACTGACCATTAGTCAATTGGGTTATGATGATAAGAAAAATATCAGCGTCTGAAGTAAAATGTACCTCGGTTATGGTCAGGGTGATTGATAGATGCTTTGTGTTGCTTCGAGCTCACTTTTATGCTCTTTTCACTTATATTGCGCGTAAATGGCCAACTGGGGATAATATCAACAATGTGCATATGGGCTACATGTTCCACCAAGATTTTTAAGAGTACGCAATTGAGCGTATGAGGAAATGCATATTTGATCATCTTGCAAGTCTTAATGACTTGCAAGACAATCTTGCAAGTCATTGAAATGACTGTATTTGATGATGTCGCAAATTTTCATCTAAGAGCGTGACAGTATTAGAGCTACGTTATGATGACACTTCCGCTGAAACACCATGTTTAAAAAGTATACAACGTGTGCGTGTTTGCAATATCTCGGCCGTCTTTCCTTTTGTCCCTTAAAAATTTCGCATAATTCTCGCCTCTATCTTCTCCCAGTCGCGTACGCTGCTCACACTGCTTCTGAACTCGCTCTGGTGTTAACCACAAGGGATTAGTGTAACACCCAATAAGGAAGTATAGGGAATTCCCCTCACATCAACCCCGAACTGGGATTGAGTTGGCATTTCCTGTTTAACTTGGTGATACACCGGCGTGAAACGCCGGGAAAACATGGGGTTACACCAACACCACAGGACGAGCTCAAATTGACATTAAGGAGTGGAATTCGTGTTAAACGGGGTTTTAACACGGAACTTCAACACCGAATTTGAACTGACCCATTGTCGTCAATGCAAACAAAGGACATTCTTCCAGACCTATTTCAGTCTGTGGGAATGAAAATTTGGCAATAGAAATGAATACAGTTCTAATATTCTCCCATAGAGAATCGCGGACGCATTTCTACTGAATTGACACCGAAGTTGTCTATCTGGAGCGTCCTGCATGTTGGAAGGATTTGGAGCATACTGTTCAAAAATTAAATTTTTCATTCGCTGAAAGCAATCAATATCATTGCATGACGAACTTACTGAGGGCTTGTCAAATTAGAAAGCCTCATCTCAAGGAGATCGAATTTTCCGTAAAAGGGCTTGCTTGACTCTTCCAAACGCCTGTCTTTGGAGCATGCTTCATGGATCCCATCTTAAGGGCCCCTGAGGAACTGATAGAAAACCTTATAGCAAATCGAAACATGGACTGTTCACAATTTTAGACCCTGGCATCTATGGTATCTATGGCAAGGTCGATGACATCAATAATCCAACATAAGAGGCATTGTTTATAGCGGGACAGTGGGCATGATGAACAGGTTCGACGTTGGTGCATCCGGGAATTAAATGACAAATAGAGATTTAGAATTATGATCGTATGTATGAAACAGAGAAGTCAAACATGGAGATGCTGGAAACCTCGTGCAAACTTAGCGGTGTCATCTTAGATATTTCGATTACCTTCTTTTGAACCATCCTGTAGAATGCAGATCATTTCTTGAAAAGAATACTCCGAAGTTATCTGCAAACCTATATTGAAAATTAAAGCCAAAATTAGATAAATCACGGAATATCGTTGAAGTGGTCCAGAGTGACCTAAACCGATCCAAAGTGAAAAGAAACGACCCAAAGAGACCAAGAGTTATGTGACCTAGAGCGACACTAATTTACTGATTGGCCAGATTTTTGCCGATTTATCCTGGTGTGACCCAAAGTGGTGTGGATTGCTAAATTCACTCAACTTGAGACAAATTATTCTAGAGTGATCTTATTATTTTAAAATTGATCCAAAGTGACCCAAACAAAGTCATTAGCAAAACTTTAAATACTTTTCTGAGAGTAACCATATTGAATGAAATAGATCCAAATTGTTTCATTGAGCCAACACGACCTAATTGTACTAGACTGACCCACATTCATCAAAAAATCCTTTAAGTGACCCATATTTACAGGCCTACACGCCACAGGTTACCAAGTGCGTCTTCCATTCTTGAAACATCCAAATGACTTTGTAAAAGAAGCTACCTGAATACTGCTGTCCATTCTTTATCAAGGCTTGACGTATTTGAATTTATTTACAGTCAACTCGGCATATTGGAATAGTCACGAGCATGAAGCAGGGAGCCTCAGTCTAAAGTCTAAAAATGTCTAAAGCCCAATTGCCAATGTTCTTGGTGTAATAGCCATGTCTCATGCGCGCTGTTCTGTACCATTCGGTGTGTTTAGACGTGTCTGGTATATACAGGGTGATTCTGAAAAATAACTCCCTATTTTTAAACAGACATAATTCATGTTGCAGGAAAAATAAAAGCATCATTCTAACGGCTTTTATAATATAAGTGAATGCCATTTTATGCTACATAGGTTAAATTCCACATATGCACCAGCATTTTCCACAGTTTTTCATAAGCACACAGTGACATTATCCACAGAGCGTATGAGAAACTGCTATCGAACATTCTGTGTAATTTTCCCGATAAAATTCTCCAACTGCTCAAGATATGCGTTTTTCCTATAGTAAACAGTTTCCTTGACCCAACCCCCCAAAACGAAGTCAATAGGAGTGAAATCAGGGCTTCTCGCAGGCGAATCTGCTGGTTCACGCCTGCCAATCCAATTGGTGGGACAATTGTCTAACCTGTTGCGCAACATTGACAGCGAAATGGGGTGAAGCAACTCATGTACATTAGGCCACCTAGAGCCTTTCGGCTGCACAAGACGGTTGGATGAGATCGTCCCTCCCTAACCTTCTCCCGAGCGAGTAGAGTCTCAACCGGTCTCAACACTTCTAAAAGCTTCTCGCACGAAAGTACCCAGCCATCCTTTATCATTCTTGTGGAGCGGCTGAAGGCCTCTTCACCGAATTTTTTCGTGAATTCCCAGCGATTCTCTTTACGTTTTGGCTCAATTCGGAAAAAAAAAACTGAACGTCTTCAACATGCTAACGGATGGCTAGACTAGTCGAAACATATGTAAAGCTCAGGGAAAAAAGCAATTGCCCAAATAACCCGAAAACATATATCTATATAGAGGGTATGTCTTGCCTTCCAAATGATCCAAACTAGATCTCTATCAAGCGGGGAATAAAAAGTCATCAATATTCGAAAGGTGGGCAGGACTATTGCCTCACCCTGCATATTAAAAAATACCAAATAATTGGTAACTGTAATATCTATGGGAAAGTAATGCAAACAATCTTTTGGTCAATGGTTGCATTTTAAAATTAAACGCTTGATTTTTTTCACTCAGATATATCGCACCAGTATACGCAACCCCGGCCTTCACAGCCCGATTCAACAGACAAAATCTATCTTTCCTGACCGAAGAAAAGCTGGACATCCTGGTGAACGGACCGAAGGAGTTCGTGCTGAAAGGAGCAGCCGGGACTGGGAAGACGTGGATTGTTCAGGAAAAGATCAGGAACATCGTCATGTCTTGGTTTTCTCGAGGACCCATCGAGGACAAGGACGAGACGATCCTCCTCATCCGCAGGAACACCCAAGTCGCCAACGAATTGAGGAGGACGCTGTACGACCTCCTCCTCACGTCCGCTATGGCTATGATCAGCAAATGGGTCGACGGAACGAACGATGAGGAGGAAAGGCAGAAGGTGTGGGGAATTCTGAAGAAGAATATCTTCATTTGCTGCTTGCAACCCTCAATTACTTTATGGGGCCTTCATTGGGAAGAATTGAAAATGATTCATCTTCTGGAAACCCAAGAGGGGAAGGCAGACGAGAATCATGAACTACCCCTGAGTCGATCTATTTTGACCTTGGATATCTCCATGTGGAAGAATGCAAGTTGGGAAATATTCCTATGCTATGAGTTCCTCAGAAGCTCCATGGCTACATTCGAACCCGGAGTTCAGATAGCTAGGAAGTGGAGAGAGGCCATGAGGAAAGTTGGAAATTTATTTGAGCCCTTCACTCCGTCATCAGATGCAATGCAGAACTTAGTCCGCAGCGTCCAATCTTTGGCAAAGGAAATGCAATCGATTAAAATTATCCGGTTGACCCGCGAACGAGAGATGATCCATGTTGCACTGACGACACTCCGAATATTGTTGCAGAAATTGAACGCTTATTTAAAGAATCTTTCCGAATCGGATCAGCATGTGATACTGGAGACCCTGCACGAAGTCTTCAAGACACAGAAACCGCCATTCGACCACATGTTTGTTGACGACGGAGAAGAATGGTGCAAATCCTACGGTGACCACTGGATGACCATGCTCCGATCTCTTCACAAAGGTAGTGGAGGATATTTTTGGCGGACCTACGATCCCCTTTCTGATGCCATGGAAAAATTGACGAACGCTATGAAATCTGAGGTGAAGGGTGCTCGTCCCTTGTATACAGTTTTGAGGAATACGGGATCCGTCTTGGAGACGTGGACTCGAGCGTATACATCACCTGTTGGAGGCGCCCTCTCGACGAATACCATCGCACTCGGCTTGATGTATGAAATTGGAAAAATCCAGTTGGGACACAATATACGGGGTCCCAAAGTGGAAATGTTTCACGTCTCCTCCTCGGATCTGGCAGAGAAGATACAGGGAATTCTTGAAGAAAAGTTTCCTCACGCGAACCAGCTCAATGACATAGCTATTGTCTTTGCTGATGAAGCAGATTTTCAAGTCCATATGCAGCGTCTTACGGTTGAATTGTGCACGAAGCAAAATGAATGCCCAGAGAAGAGATACAACATAACAACCTATGCTGACTTCTTCAAAGGTCTCGAGGCCCCTATCGTGTTCTTGATCATCAACAGCAGACAGGAGAGGGAGATGAATTTGTATATGGGTGCAACGAGAAGCACTTCCCACCTCTTCGTACTCTCATTCGAGGGGGGTGCAGAAGAGGAGGAAGCCGCCTTGGAGATATTAGTGAACAAATTACTTCGTTTTGTCTTCCTGGAGGAAATGACTGCAGAAGTGGAGGACGCCGCTCGCAAGGAAACTCGTCGCAGACTAGTAAGAGAAAACCCAGACGCGATGACAATTCGATTGACACGGATCGCGACCATAAGGAGAACATCAAAGGAAGGGCGAAAATTTTCGTCAATAAGAGGTGTCACGAGCGAAAAAGAGCATCGCCGGACACTCCGCTTCTTACAGATTCGAGACGTCGATTATTCAACCTCGATTTTACTCAAGAAATGGGTCGAGTCGGGTTGTGCAGTTCTTCCTACTAGTATCATTGTGCAGGCGGATTGGGGGACGAGACTCTAGATGGAGAGATGGCTGCAGTTACGTGCTCTCTCATTAAATATCCAGTCGTGATACCCAAGGACAACGTTGTTTGTGGCACAACAGTAATGAGAGCGTCGTGAAAATTGGTCTGGCCTCTCATGGAATCCAAGGAGTTTCATCACCAAAAGGGAAATCCCACTCATCCTTTGCAAACTTCTTGGAAAGGATTAAGAAATCATCTCCCCCAGTCGTTCCTTGTACATGGCTTTTCTTTAAGCTTCATGATGTGTAATGTCATAATCGAAATATGTATTTCCAGTTCCCTTCCAATCTCAAATCGTATTCCTCATCACAAGCTAATTTCAATTCCTCCAGTGTCACATTGACTTTGAAAATGCAGTCGACTCCGCTTCAAGGAATGCTCACAGGACCAGATAACTTTATTGTATAATCTGGAGTGTTTCAATAACCGAAACAATCGTACAGTACTTTTTCTTTGTACTTCATGCAACTTTTAATATATATATATATATATATATGCTGTTGAACAGTACCCGTATTTGCGCATTCGCCACATGAATGAAAAAGCCAGTTGAGACTCTCCAAGGTCCGAGTTTGTTCATTTCCTGCTTTATTCTATGGCGGGTTGTGATAGCATCAATTACCGGAATAATTCAGCGTTCATCGTTGAAGCTATCACATACTGAAATTGTCCCGGCAAAGTTTCTCACTACTCCAGCGTGCAAAAACATGAAAATATTTAGCAAACACATAAACAACAGTCAAATTCGCGCTGCTTAATGTCCAGGACCTGGCAGGAAAGACCATGCGTTATGCTATAGTGTGTTTGTTGCTTCGGTATACGCCGCCTATGTGATCAGTAGTTGTTGTTATCAGCTGGATCAAATCCCGATAATCAAAAGAATATCCATATAAAGTAATATAAAAAGAAGCCAAATCCAATAATGAACAGTGGCCTATAATAAAAGTTCGATGTAGCGGAAAACGTCGACCCCTTGGGACATAAAGTTTACATTATTCTTAGCCTACCAACTTGCTGAATTTGCCACTTTTTGGACGACATTTCTTGGAATGACCAATGTAGACTGGCGTATGCCGCAATACCCAAGAAAATTAGGTCTCTTTAAAACATTTGCATTATCATATTTTCGCAGTCGCCTGCTAGCAGAAACAATAGACTGGGGATATTCATAAATTAAGGTAATTATTGTCATTAAAACCTGAGATCTGTCTTGTTTTCCATTGAAAAAGAAGCTTTGAAGCCAGCTGCTGAGAAGCCTCTGTCGTTCCGATTCGTCCCGACCACTCGCGTACATGCATAAACAAGTCGAACGTACTGTTCGACTCTCGCGTCAACCTGTGAATTTGCAACGTAAAACCGAAAATGCGTTCAGGTCAATGTCTTGCGAAATTATCAGTCCGAACTGCTAGGATATTTTCCTACCATTATCATAATACTGAAGAAATTCCTACACTAAATTGGGGTTGAGCCCTTAGTTCTGTTGAATAATTTTCATGAATGTACCCCATAACTAAAACACGATTGCTTCATATCCAACATCTGAGAGCGCTCAGATTTCATGCTCGTACTTACACAATAGAAATCTCGTAGGAAATTAGCAGTATGGCATGCTTTTAAAACAGAGCAACTACTGGGATTTGCGTTCAATCACTAGAGAGGAAGTCCAAGAAGTAGCCGATATCTGTAGCCAAAGCGTCCCAGTCAAGTTGCACTTTCCTGAAGCGTTCGAGTATCGTTGGTTTCCCCTACATGGACAGGATCCGTAGGCACAGCCTCGGCCTGGAAGGAGATCGAAATCAGTGACGTCACGATAAGGGTACTTCTCTTTGCCGACGATGCCGTCCTTTTCCCATGACCTGTTCTCGACAGGAGCTCCAGAGCGTGCTCGATCGGTTTGACTCTGAATGCACTGCGTCCGGAATGAAACTGAGCGTTAAAACCGAACTGAAACTGACCAAGACACGTGTCATGTTCCTCTCGAGGAATCATGTGCAGTGCACCCTGCACGTCAGTAGAGTCCCACTGGAACAGATGGAGAGGTTCAAGTACTTCGGGTTTCTGGTTCTCGAGTGACGGGCGACACGGAAACGAAATCGACAACGCATCTCTTAGGTTTCTGCAGTTCTACGGAAAATTTGACGAACCGTGGTTGCCAGATCGGAAGTTTCCAGGGAAACGAAACTCTCGGTTTTTAAGAGCGTATCTCTCCCCACCCTCTCCTATGGTCATGAGCTTTGAGTAATAGCCGAAAGAACCAGATCGTGGATACAAGCTGCCGAAATGAGGTTATTGCGTCGAGCAGCTGCTTTTCCGAATCGAGAGGTCCCAGGTCAGGTGGTTTGGACACGTCTGCTGCACACCCCCTGAAAGACTCCCGAGAGGAGTCCTCCAGGACAAGATGACCGGCAAAACATTTACCGATAGAGCTCGTACAAGGTGGAGTGATTACGTCGCTCGACTTTGTCACGAGCGGTTCGGCATTCCACCAGCTGAGCTTGGTCTGATGCCCAGGATCGAGAGCATTTGGAGGACGCAACTGGGCATGTTCACACCGCGACCCCATCACGTTGGGAAAAGCGGTATCGAAAATGAATTTATACTGAGGGTTTCATAACTACGACTTCCACGCAAAGGACTTTGGAAGATTACTTCTTCCGATTTTGTCGTGAAAAAATTTTTCGAGTTTTAATTGATTGCCCCTGCCTATTAGCAGCCGTTTAATGTCATAAAATTTCCTTGCATCAAAGTTATCACAATAAGAGACATCCTTCTTAATTTTTTACGCTCTAATATCTACAATCATATTTGATATTGATATCAGATTTTTATTAAGGCATACCAATCCTGGCATGCGGGATGTAAACTATCTACTTTTTATGATTTACAAAAGGGGGCAAGATTGCCGTGCGTGAAGCTGTTTGTCTCCGTAGCCTCCCTACTGATGCTGTTGGGACAACAACTTCAATCAGCAGCAGAGATTATCCTTGTTGACAGAAGCAGCATTAAGCAACAGTAGCAACATCAACTGATAGGAAGTACACTGTTGATCTCACATCTGGGGTATGTACATGACCTGCAGGTCTCTATGGTGCCTAGTGCAAGCACTAAGTAGCCCTGTGTGCCATAGGTAATGTAAGCCTCCCTTATTTCCCCCCAATTATCGTAATTTGCCTAAGTTCGAGATAGCACATATTCGACCCCTGTCACTCAATGCTAGCTACATGTGTTGAGTGCCATGAACTGGCAAAACTGGCTTTTGAACAGGGTTGCCCAGTTGCATCATTTTTCTTGGGCATCCAGGAGCCAAATTTTACAATACATGCACAGTCCGCAGTTTAACAGCGTCAGAGGGAGACACCAAGCCTAGTAGCATATAACATTGAAAGTTACAACAAAGTTACAATGTCATATACGATGAACCCATGACAAGGGGTTTTTGTAGTCTCTCTCGGAACACACTCTAGCCCTGTAGGTACTTGTTCGTCCTCCCAGACTGTTAGTCAAAATAAACACTACTAAGACTCTCAGAAAAGAACTTGAGAGACTGGCACGTTTGACCTCAACCCCTCACAGTGACTTAGAGCCAGCGAAGAATAAATTTATTCCCACTGCAAAGAAGATCCAAAATCAAGACTAGTTGGCTCATTTCCTTCTCTGCCACAACAAAGGAAACATTTGGAGGGAAGATTCTATATCCTCTCGTTATTTCCTCCAACGTTAGGAATTTCCTCCATTTCCTCCGAATAGCCAACATGCTGGAGTTCTACCTGCTTACTTTGAGAAAATATTCTACTGTAGGATTAGGCAAAAAAAATATATTTATTTACACACCAATGAAAATGAACTTGTCACCTAATATTTTCAGCCAGTGGAAATATTGGCTCCTTCACCAGATCACAATGAATCTTCACCAAATTAGAGTCAGTCACCAAATTCTTATTTTTTATTTCACCATATACGATTGCACCATCACAGGTGATGGTATCATCAAATTTGCATAAACTCGCACCGAACACAAAAAAGCTTTCATCGTCAAACTCATGAAATTGTCAACATTTGCAACCCCATCAAGGAAAGGATTTTTCTTTATTTTCGGTTAGACCCGCGATGGCAAGATTGTAAGGTATACGGGGTATCATGCTTCGGGGGCCTTCGGGGGAGGATCTGTGTAACTAGTCTCCTTTCGCATGTGTACATGTATGGGAGTTCAGTACGGTGCTGACTTCCAGTTTCGGTGTGCTCTACGTCTTAGAGGTGCCATGGCAACTAGAGTTTGAGGACATTGAAACAAGGAGACGCTTTCATTGCCTCCGGCAACGCCACAAGAGAAGAGGTTCGGAAGAGAGCACAAGAAAATCTAATTAGAAAACCTGAGCATTGGGAGAACTTTGAGAGAACAAGAGCCAGTTGCACTGCCTCAGTTAAGTCAGACATTCATGAAAGGTCTGACTTTGGGAGCCTGTTTACCATGCTTTCAAAGTCTGACTTAACTGAGGTTTTGCAACAGACCCCAAGCCCCTCCCTCTGAGTTGTGAGAGCTCCACATTTTGTATGCACATGCCTTGTTTGGATCAAGACTGGCATTTCCAAACATTCACTCGGAATGCTAATTCACAGCCAGGTTAGTCAGTCAATGTCCTCTGCCCTGCAGGCCCGCTAGAAGAAAATGGAATGGGACAATGATTTGGTGCTAACTCAACAAAATTTGGTGGTCACTTCATGGCATCTAGTGAAAATACTGAGGGAGAATTTGGTGTAAGATTCATTAGGTCTTATGGTGAAATCATTTGATGACGGTAATAAATATTTGTTGATGTAAATTCATTGAGTGACAAAATATTAAAATCTGGTGATAAACCATTACTTCTTCGTGACAGTCATTATTATTTGGTGATGAATTAAATACTAACATTATGCAAATGTTTCCTGAAATTTTAGGTGCTATATATACCTAACAAGTTCTTCGCTTCAGTCTTCAGAAACGAAGCTGACGAAGCCCCAAAATTGGAGGATGTGACCTCTGCGCCCATCGCGGATATATCCAACGACAAGGAAGAGATCAAGCAGGATAGGGAAGATAAGCGAGGGAAGGATAGGGAAGATAAGCGATAAGATTGTCAGCGAGGAAAAAAAGGATTCTCTAGGGGGTAGTCTTGTCTCAGACAAGACTTTAAAGTCTGTGATATACTCATAGGGGAAATACCCCTTCCTCTGGAGTAATGTCATTTGTTCCTGAGTTGTGAGAGGGAAGGATTCTTTTCAAATTGTCAGGTAGTTTCCTGAAATTTTAGGTGCTATATATACCTAACAAGTTCTTCGCTTCAGTCTTCAGAAACGAAGCTGACGAAGCCCCAAAATTGGAGGATGTGACCTCTGCGCCCATCGCGGATATATCCAACGAGAAGGAAGAGATCAAGCAGGATAGGGAAGATAAAGATAGGAAAGGCAACCGGTCCGTACGGGCTCGCGTCATCAAGGAATTTGCGAGGGAAATATCGATACCATCTACTAATACATTATATTACGCAGTTAACTGAATTACCTCATAATGAAATAGAGGTCATATGAAGGAGAGATTGGTCTTATATTAGCCGTCAGGGTCTGTAGACTTGCACAAAAATATTGCATACTCATTGATTAATTAATTTAAAAGTTAAATAGTCTCTTCTCGATTCTATTTCTTTTGTGCTCTCCTTTGGATTGGACAACGACCTCAACGCCGCCCTCTACATCTGATTACTAATTGCATCTTATTTTTCGGCCAATTAAATATTAACTCTGAATACCTTATGTCTGTTGAAACTTTGTTACGGGAAATTACAGACCGATTAGCCTAAAGAGTATTTCAGGGAAGATCACGGAGAACCTATGAAGAGATCACATGTTAGATTTCCTCGAAGGTAACGCGATCGTCCGGGGCTCTCAACATGGCTTTACGAGGTGTAATTGTCTAACCAATTTTCTCGAGATTTACGATCGAGTGACGAACAGAGAGATAATGGGAATCCCGTGGAAATCGTCTATTTAGATTTCACCCAGGCCTTCGATACCGTTCCCCACAAGAGATTTATTTCATTAAACTTCTTTCTTTTAGTACTACCAATAAATTGCTATGCCCGACTTCCAGGAGGGGAGGAGGGGCAAGCGCACCCTTGCCCCCTTGGAGCGGACGCCCATTCCTAAGAAGGTCAGTCAATACGTTCTGAGACCCCCTCTTCATAAAGTGAATAAAGTCAGCTTTGCTAATACTTCGATTGTGATCCTTCAACGTACTATCCGGAATTGATCGAGCAAGGTGCACCGTTTCTTCACGATGGCGCTTGTCCTCACAGAGCACGTATTATTGTTGCCAACTAGCTGAATGGGACCGGAAATTGCTGGCTCACCCCTCTTATTCACCAGATCTCTCTCCCCCAGACTTCCATCTATTCCCAAAACTGAAAGAACCGCAGTAGTATAAAAAGGGTATATTCTGCGGGCTGGAGCTGCCTGGAGCAGCCTGGAGCAAGCCTGGAGCTGCCTGGAGCAGCCTGGAGCAAGCCTGGAGCAGCCTGGAGCTGCCTGGAGCAAGCCTGGCGCTGCCTGGAGCAGCCTGGAGCAGCCTGGAGCTGCCTGGCGCAATATCTTATTTCTTGTATAACCATAATTTCATATGATTTAACCTCAGCATATCATTGATTTATGTGAGTACTCGGTGAATTAACGTTGAATTATCGGTTGCACGATGATTCGCATGTACCTTTATGAAGCGATTTTTCGAATTGGAAAATATTATGGCATGAATCTTGCGTCATAAAATCCCAGTTAAATTGACTCTTACCGTTTTGCATCAGGGAAGTCAATAGGGTCTGATGAAAGATTCCATTAT